TGATGGAGTACCCTGAGCATTCTTTTGCCCACACTTAATTCCATCTATATTGGAAATCTGTAGCCATTATTTCTCCCAGTGTTCTTCCTGCCTTCTCTCTCTCTTCTCTCCTCTGGCAAGTATGTCACATTGCTTAGTCCACACATTCCCCACCCCATGCAGTTCCAGTGTCACCTGCTCAGTCATGGGTAGCACTCTGGGATTTGTTCCTGCCTTCAAGCTGAAGGAAAGCTCTGGAAAGAGCTGTTGCTAAAACACGGCCTCTATATCCCACTTACTGAATTGAGATTCAAGGACAGAGTTTTGGATAAAGCAGGAAAGGCAGCTTTATTTCTTTGCCAGGCAAAGGTGGTCACAGTGGGCAAATATCTCTAAGACTGTGAGCCTGCTGGGGAGAGAAAGCAAGGGGTTTTATAGTGAAATTCAAGAGTTCAAGGGGCAGAGCTAGTTTCCATAGAGATTGGATACAGGGTAACAAGTTGTTACAAAGTTTTTCATTTTTGAAGATGCAGTGGTCTCCTTCCCTCTGCTGTGGTACAAAGTTCACCTCTGGCTTTGGGAATCTCTCAGTATTCTTATACCTAGAACAAAGGAGGCATAGGAAGGGGCTCCATGGAAAAGAGCTGTAGAAACTTGTGCAGACTAAATTCAGGCTGATAAATGCTTTTAGCCTTTCAAGCAGGCTGGGGCCTGAGACCTCCTGCTGTGGGCTGAGGCCCACAGCTTGAACAACAGGAAACAAGGAAACCACGAGGGGTCAAGAGGAGGGTGCTGGGGGCAAAAGCCAATCTGCCTGCACTGAGCGTGATCCCTGCACACAGCACCGGCACCACAAAGGAGTTGGTTGGATCACCCAAGCCTCCCTTCTTTCCAGCCCAAATCTGGTCAGCAAGAGCATGAGAAAAACCCTTTAAACCATTATACAGTTAAGCAGTTGCAAACACCATTACAGATATCAGATGGTCACCAACAATGACAAAAGGGTCCTGCTTGGTTACAGAGGCACAGTCCTTATTCCTTCCATGTACCTGGCTCTAATGCTGGTTACATTTATTTGTAACTTGCTGTAGCGAAATTCCCACAGTGGAAGATTCCTCAGCAGCCTAGTGAAGTGACTGTCACCCATTTTAGAGGTCTTCAGGCACCAAAGATGCAAAAACTTCGCCAGAGTCAAAGTATCTAAACATCTTCATTGCCTCTCCATGCTCTTTCCCCAAGTCAGCAAAATAGGAATCTGAAGGAGGACATGAATTCATAAAATAATTCATCTTTATTATTTCACTGCACTGAAAATACTTACACACACTTTCCAGAATTTATCATATTAAGGGTTATGTGGAGTACAAAAGTAATAGCAGTGACAGTCCATGCTCTTACAAATGATTAATCTTGCAGTAACCAGATACTTTGAAATTTTAAAAAAGCAGATAACATAGATTCTGTCCTAAAAGCAGTTAATATTGAACACATCTGACCCTACATGGGAGAAGATTCCACGGTTCTCATCTCATGTATCACCTTCATCGTGCAGCTCTCAATATAACCAGCTCAGCCTTGAGTAGGGCACCACCATCTTGGAACCAAGAGGCACCCTTAAGTATGGATGGAGGCTGCATCAGATGAGCAGGGGAAGAAAGAAGCTGGACCATTGATGTGACACTGGTCCAGACTGCCTACTCCTGGACTTTTTGACATGAGACACAATAAACCCTTAATGTGTTTAAGCCATTATTATTTGAGTTCTTTGAGTTTTAACATAATTCCTAAGCCTCAGGGATGAGAGAGAGAAAGAGAGGGAGAGAGAAGTGTAAAGGGGGTTTTCCTCTAGGAAAATCTAGAATTTTAAACTTTGCAAAATTGTCTAATCTTGGCAATTTTACCATGCTTCTAATTTTTGTTTTAGTCTATTTCACTGTGATGATTAGCAATAAAATCTTTTGAAACCTCACAGATTCATGTTCATTTCCTCAGGGACAGCAAAGGAGGGTAGACTGGGTCCACTTTCCATTCAACCTTAGAACAAGGAAAGAAGTAAGGATTAGCCACCTTATGAGGAAAGGAAGGCCCTGAGCGCTGCCACAGGGAATACAGGGAGCTCGGGGCGTCTGGAAAGCAGTGCTGGGCAACAGAGCCCCACAGGAGTCCCGCTTCTCTGTCCTGCCGTGCCCAGGAGTTGGCTGGACATGGTCTTCCACTCGTATCTGGACTCCGTGGTTCTTAGATGACTGTGTTCTAACCGCAGGCTGGTCCTGGCCTTAGTCCCAGTGTCTGTCCTGGTGCCAATCTACCTACACAGGTGCAGTGCTCCTCGTGACTTGATTCTGACTCTTAATATCAGCCTCAGCTCTGAAAGCATTTTTCCAGATTTCTCCACCCTATTTCCTCTTTCTCCTTTATCAATTATCCCCTGCTACTTGCCCTAGCCTGAAAATTTATTTACCCACAAAGAGCTGAAGCATCACAAGGTGAGATGCATTTACCTCCCAAGCCTTCAGAGTCATGAGCCACCCTCCCATCCCGCCAGTCCTTCCATGCCCCCATGCTGCCGCCCAAGAGTATCGCTAACTTAAAGAGACCCCAGGCATTTCAGCTTCCTTGTGAAACTTATCTTTTAAACTATTTAGTAACTTGGGGAGTGGGGTATTCCTGAATGTTTTCATTATTTTTTGTGTACTCCACAAGGCATGGGTGTCCACATCTTTTCCACAGCACCTTATCAGGTCCCTGGCCTTTAACAAAAGATGTCTTGCCTGGTCTTCCCTGGCTTGGCCAGTTTCTTTATTATTAAAAGCACAATATCCCTTGTTACATTTTTTAATTAAGCTCCTAAGATATTTGTTATCTGTGTTATTGACATAATCTTCAAGCTTCTCAGCTCCTAGATCTTCCTTCCGTGTGAACAGCACAATTGTGTATTTCATAACTTCTGCTCCAAAGATGGCCTGCAGATCCACCAATGCCTTTTTGTCCTCTTGAGTGATGCGTCCCAGCTGTACTACCAGGACCAGGACCGTGCTGCCTTCTTCATAGTAGGACAAACAGTGTTTGATCTCCTCCTCTAGCTCGGATTGATCCCCTTCAGCTCCAGACATCAGGCAGAGTGAGGGAGTGTCCACAACCACAACATCCTGCCCGTCCCATGTCATACTGACACCCTGGCACTTCCTGGTGACTGGCTGTGCTTTCAGCTGAGAGAGGAACACAGGCCTCCCAAGGATGGTATTCCCGCTTGCACTCTTCCCAGTCCCACTCTTCCCCACGAGGATAATCTTCAGTTGCTCTGTTGAAAGGAAAGCAGGAAAGATTCATGACCATGGGCTGATCTGGGTACAACTTTCATCTCAAGACTACTGCCACTTATTACACAGAGGACACTCAGAGAGCATGGGGGCACCTCCACACCGCCCCCCTCTCTGCACTGCCCCCCTCACCTGGCAGCTCCATCCCCAAGCACTTGAACAGCTTGTCGAAACCACACAGTCTGTGAACTCAGAAGCATGGTGCAGACCACAGCCTCTGCTCAGCGCTCACCCACCAACACAGCACTGCTCCTCTCTCTGAGCTGGCTCTGCTCTCTTTTCCTGGTACCTTCTCTGGATCCCTGACACCCCGAGAGTGCCAGGGGCTTTGTTACTCTTCACCTGCTTAGTCCACACAACTCATCTCTGTCTTCTGTTCCTGCTATATCTTCCTGTTGCCAACTAATGCTCACTGTAGCAAAATCTCCTTGATGTATTTGAAAAATTATTCCATAGAATTGACTTTTCATGAAAAAGCAACTACATATATCATTAATGGGTTACCAGTGCCTTCAATTGGACCATGCTAAAATTCACTTCTCATTAAAACCACTTTAATTTTTTTTATTGAAGTATGGTTGACTTACAGTGTTTCGGGTGTAGAGCAAAGTGATTCAGATACAGATAGACATGCCACATTAATCTTAATTGTTTTTTTCATCAATGAGTCAAAAGGCACTCCTTGGTTATAATAATGAACATCCACTAATGTGCTGTGTGGGGTCAATAATGGATAATAAAAGTCCCTTTAAATGAAATGACAGATGCCCAGAGCTCTTACAATCTGTATTACTGGGGGTTTTCTTCTGACTTTGCACTTGTGCTGTGAGCTCACTCTTCCATTCAGGTCTCAGAGTTCTCGATTGTGAATTCTTTACCAAGTTACAATACCCACCTCAAAAAGAGAGGCAAGCCCATCCCACCCCATGCTCTTCCTTCCAGGAGAAATTGTTGAATTGCTTATCCTGAACCCACAATTTCATAGTTATACGTATAGGATAAAAAATAGATTAATCTTATGACACCTTCATCTTTGTCATGTACTTCGGTCCCTGCTTCCATGCCCTCAGAGGGTGTGGTCCTCAGGTACCTCTATAATCTGGTCTAACCTCCCTATCCCACATCTCAGGGTGTGAACCCTTCATCTCCATCAAGACCATGCACCTCTGTCCCTTAACAAGTGGCATCCTCAGTTCTACCTCCTTGCTTCCAGTTGCTAGTGCACCCCCTGGAGCTTTCTGCTCAGTCACCCAAACTCCACCCATTCTCCAAAGCCTGTTTCAATTTGGGCTTCTTCCACACAGCCCCTCCTGACATCTCCACATGTCCATACTTCTTTAAGAGGCTCCCCAGCACCTGGCACCCCTCTTAAGAATGTGAAAGGGTGCAACAAGCAGATATGCTCCTTTTGGTCTGATGTTATTTCCGGGTGAAGATGTTTGAAGCAGAAGAGAACTGGGTTAGTGCTGGGCTGGAAGGATTTCAGCTCAGGTCAATAGAACATGTAACACTGAGTGGATAGGGACTCCTGCTTATGCAGTAGACAGGGTAACGTGGCTGATCTAATAACTGCCATGCGAGGCACGACCATCATGAGCATTCAGGCTCCCTGTCCTTGTCAGGTCAAAATGGTGCCCCGCTCTCTAACAGAGACAAGAGTGAAGAACCAAGAGAGTGAACAAAGAGGTCAAGAAAGGGCGAGAGGGGAAGGAAGAAGCACAGGGAGTGGAAGGAGAGGAGAGGGAAGGAGGAAGAGAAGAGAAAACCAATGATCCAGGACTATCTCATCACCAACACTGAGTACTGAGCCCTAGGCAACAGATACACTGCAGGGAAGACAAGAGGCTGGAAAAGGCCAACTCCTTCCCTCAAGATGCTCAGAATTCAGTTCAAGAGATAGGAGAAGAGTCATGAGATAATTAAAGACAGTGCATGAAAAGGCATATAAATTTAGTAAAATTTGAGAAAGAAGGGAAAAAGAGAAAAGAGTTGGTCAATAGAAGGGACCCATCATTTTGATCTTGGTGCCTTTTCTGAAAGTGTCTTTCAGAAAAGGCACCAAGATTTATTTTAAGTATGCATAAAAGGTTTTCTCTACATTGTTTACCTCTCCCTCTGAAGGTGCAAAACATGTCTCTGTTCTGCTGCACCATGTTCACAATTCCTTGCAGGAGCTCATCCACCTCTTCTCCGGTTGCTCTGTAGCTGAAGATGTGGTATCGGTTTTCACATTTCTGGATGAGATCCCAGAGGGTTTTACTTTGGGTTTTTAAGAATGTTTCTACATCTTGACTATCTAGATCTTCTTTCCTGGTGAGGAGAATGGTCATGTATGCAGGGAATTTTTCTCCAAAAACTCTTTCGATGGTGTTCAGCACCTCGTGATCTTTCTCAGTGAAAGAGCCCAGTGGGGTCACCAGGAGGAAGGCATGGGGACCTGGAGAGATGTTTCTCAAAAGCATTAAGTCAACATTCTTTGTAGATAAGAAGTCTGGAGTATCAATGATCAAAAGTTTCCTCCCTCTCCAGTCTCTGTTCTTAGTCTCAAATGTCTGGGTTACTGGCTGTTCACTGTATTTGGTCTTAAAGACCTGCTCCCCGAGAAGGCTGTTTCCAGCTGTACTTTTTCCCACACCATGCTTCCCCACCAGCAGGACCTTCAGGGCTGAAGGCTCAGGGTTTGGCTCACATCCTGTGGTCCCCTGCTGCTCTTCCTCTGACCCTGGAACAAAAGGATAGATTCAGAGTCTCTTCTTGCAGTTGCATACAGAGATGGGGACATGTTTAAAGCGGACAGGTGTTATGATTTCTCATAATCTCTTTGGAGATTTAAAAAATCTCTTGTCAGTTTTTACAGAGATGGGCAGCAGAACTCTAATCCTATTCAGAAGTTACCCCTCAAAGTGAAAGCCATGAAAAGTGCCATGAACAACCTAAGAGATGTGTAAAGGGCTTGAGACTTTCCAGGAACATGAAAATGTTAAACTGGGCCTTCACCGGGCTTAAGCCTCAGGATTCCTCTCATTTTCTCCCAAAGGTAACTACTGGGGCATGAAGTCTATGGGCTAAGGCACAACTGGGGAGAATGAGTTTAAGATGAATCTTAGTGATATACTCATAAAGTAGAATACAACTCAGCAAATTAAGAAAAAGTGAAGTGCTGATGTGTAGCCTGGATGGTTCTCCAAAACCTACAAAGTGAAGAAGCCAGACACAAAATCACATGCTGCATGATGTCATCATCTAAAGTTCAAGAACATGCAGAATTAATCCATGTTAATAGAAGTCTGGAGAGTGGTTCCCTTTGGGGAGGGACAGTAAACTTCTAAGGTCATGGAAATGTTTCACATCTCTATCAGATGATGGTCACATATGTGTAGTTATGTGAAAAGCCACCGAGCTGCATACTTCAGATTTGTGCATTTCACTCCATGTAAATTATACCGCAGTAAATTACTGTAAAAACCTGCACCACAAAACTGTCTCTCCACATATACCCTGTCCCCACCACTTCTCCCATGATCCCAGGTCCATACCAGACCCACATGCTGAGCAAATGACAGAGTCAGCGACTACAGGGATAGCCACTGAGCCTGATTCATCCAGGGTGCTCCCGGGGTGGGCGACATTTAGTGTCCAAGCCGCAAGTCTGGGAGGAGGAACCAACACAGCATTTAAAGAAAGCAGCTGAAATGCTAGTGGCACAGCGGCCTTGTTATACTGCCATGGCAAAATTACTACTTTCCCCCAAATCACCCCACACAGACCCACATCCTACAAAAGTCCTTTCCAACACCCTCATTCTGAGGCACTCCCTGGTCCCTACGATGCACTATATTCCCTCACTGCCACCAGTCAGTGAACCCAATTTTGCTCAGTAATAGGCATGTTCCTGGGGGTCTTGGCTGAAGGGCATGGACAGAATTTTAACTCCCTGCTGCTGTCTGAATTCACCTATTTCTGGTTAAGTTTACTCATCTGCAAAATGAGAATAATGAAAATAACACCTCCTTTACAAGGTTGTTACGAGGAATATATTGTGGGTTTGTTTTGATTACATATTATATCCTGTGAGGATTGAATACTTTATATTATATTATATACAATATACATTTTATAGCATATAATGTCAGGTGAAGTTATTCTCATTATTTAAGTTATAATTATAAATTTAGTTATTATTTTGGGAAGTTCCACAAGGACAGAGATCTCATCTATCTTACTCACTGCTGAAAATTCAGTTCTTGCACAGAACTGGTCCAGAAATCACCCGAAAGTCCATCAACAAAGTGATGGTTGAATTAGTCATGTATGTCCAGACCTGGGACCAAATTATGCCTACTGAGCAGAATGAGGTAGATCTGTGCATATTGAGTTGTGCAGGATGCATCACTAATGGCAATCAGCATGTGGATACTGAGCTCCAGCACTGAACTCTGCAAGCGTTATTCTGTTTAGTCTTATCCATGAAGGGGGTGATTTCTGCTTTCCCAGTAGGAGTCCAAAATTGGGTAGTGCTGAATCCAAGGCTGGGAAGAAGAGGTTGAACCAAGAAAGAAGCCAAGAGAAATTGACACCACATTGTAAACTGATTATACCTTAATAGGAAAGAAAGAGAGAGAAAGAGAGAAAGAGGAAGATAGGAAGATAGGAAGAAGGAAGGAAGGAAGGAAGGAAGGAAGGAAGGAAGGAAGGAAGGAAGGAAGGAAGGAAGGAAGCCGTGAGAGGCAAGCCCAGATCTGTAACATTTCAAAGAAGACCAGAGACACCCACATCATGTCCAGAATCACTGTTGGTGCTGCACCTACTCACAAGTGTTAGGAGTTCCCCAGGAGACAGACTGTGGGTACCAACCTGACTCCAGGATGCATTATCTAGACCACTTTTCCCCTTCATTTTGATGCACGATGCATTCAAAAATTATACAGATACGAGTGTAACATTTTTAAGGATCATCTTACCGTGTGGACTGCCCTCCCTCTGAGATGAGGCTTCATTCACACAATCCTAAAAAATAAAGGGGGAAAGTGATGCACAAAGATCTCAAATCTCATCTTTTCACAAAGTAAAGGAGACACGAGCATATGATTCAGGGTAATTTGATGATTAGGATGTGGTCAGATCAGGGTCAGGGTCATGGTCCCTGCTGTCTTATGCAGTCCTGTCCATCATGAAGCCGATCTTGAGACCCCACTGCTGCTACAACAGAAGTGAGAAGATGGGTTTTGTTCTCTCAGAGGAGCCCCACAAATGCTGTCTAACCAAGGCATCATTCCTGAAGTTCTTTCTAACTTTACTTGCTCATGTATATAACCATAGTAATTCTTTCCAAAGTCTCCCAGAGTTTCTGCTATTCCTGGAGAAAAATCTAGAGGCTTAAGAAGAGTTTCTGGACTCCCTGGAAGAAGAAACTGGTCAAGTGATGACTGTGCTGTGCATTTCAGGGACAGGGGAAGGGAGAAGATTGGAAATCAAGTTCCCCATGCATCTCCAATGTCTTCTTCCCTAATTACACCTCCTGTATAGAAATGAAGCTTCTTCTCATGTGAGATCCAGTAAAATCTGGAACCTTCCCCAGGCAGGTGGGCAAATGAAAACAATGAAGGATGGAGAGTCAAGCACATAATTAACATCCTTTTCACCCACCTAGTGAAGCCTTACACTCACTCCCACAACTGGCATGAAATCCATAGAGAAGGTGAAAGCAGTAACATGCAGTCTTAAAGAACCTGCTTTTCTTCTAAGCTTCCTACACTTTAACTTTATCCCTGTTACATCTGCATCTAGCCAAGGAGCTTCTCCTCTACTCTCTTACCTGGCCTTACCCAAAACACCTGATATCTTCGGTCATCTCTCTCCCTGGCTCCTCTCCATTCAGGTTTAATTATTGGACTTCTTTCACCTTATATAGCCCAGCTCAAATTCTTTTGTGTTTTTAAAATGCAAAATTGTTGCATTGCAAATCTGTATGAACTAAAAATTAGTCATTTTGCCATCTCTCCAATCCACCAGAGAAGTAACAGTTGTCAACTGATACACATCCTTCTGTGTTTTTCTATGTTTATACAAATACATACAAGTGTATATGAACATACAGACAGATTTACTAAGTTTTTTGTTCTGCAATCTGCTTAATAATATGTCCTGTACATCTGTGCATGTGAATATACATAGATCTACTTTCTTTGTTTGTTTTAGTAAATACAGTTAGTTCCACGGTATGGACATATACAACTAATGCAACCATTCCTGTATTGACAGACCTTTAGATTATTTCTGGTTTTACTATTTGAAAATATGCAGTGATAAAGGTTCTCATCCATATATCTTTATATATATGAATATTTTTATTTCTTAGTGATAGAATCCCCAAAAGTGGGAATCTTGCTCAGTCCCTGGATTGTCAAAGTCCTTAATGTCCCTACAATTTATTTGAACCTCAGACACTTCTATAATCATGATAACAATAGCTAATAATTATTAAACATTTGCCAAGTTTCAAGGATTTACAAACAACTTTGTAAGCATTTCATTGTCACAACAATCGCTGAAATACGTGTTATTATCTCTGTTTTACAGAAGAGGTAACTAAGATACAGTGGTCAACCAAACAGATATGAGTTCTGTCCTTGGGGCATTTTGGGAAGGAGAGCACTGCAAATATATGCACAAGAATCCCTTGCTAGAATGATGGCCATGTGAGGAGCACCATGAGAACGGGGGACGTCTCATTCCAGGGGATGATCAGGAGGACTCTCTGAGGATGTGCATTTAAGCTGAGGCAGATGGACAAATAAAGCAGACCTGGTGTGAGGTGGGTCGGAAGAGGGGAAGTGTCAAGGCAGAGAAAGTCGCTGGTTTGAAGCTCTAGTGTGGACATGGGTTTAACTCAAGGACCAAGGGAAAGCTAGTGAGACCAGCACCTAGAGAGTCAGGCAGAGGGTGAGGGACCAGGTCAGGTCAAGGAGTGTGAACCTGACTTTTAGATCAGTGGGAAATCACGGAAGCATTTTCAGTGAAAGGGTGTGGTGTTCAGGTTACACTGTAGAAAACTCATCCTGTCCCCTTCTCTCTGCTGACATCTTTGTTCCATGCAGCAGCCTCCAAGGGAGGGGGAGACGGTCATAGAGGAGAGAGAGAGTTCAGGCCAGAAGATAACAGAGAAAGTGACTCAGGTTCTCCTGAACATCAGTGTCCTCATCTGCAGAACATCTGCATGGAGAGTGCTGTGAAGTCAATCAGATCACATACACATCTGGAATCAATAAATACTGATTTACCTCTTACTTCCATCCTGTTTGGGCTTAATACTCATCAGCTCTAAGAAGGATCACTCTGACCAAAACTGCCCCTACACTGGCTTTTTCCTTGCTTTACATTCTCCGCCGCTTACCTTTACAGAATTCTCTATACCAGCATTCGCTTACCTACACTGAATCAGTAACCGCTGTAACTTATGCACAAGTGACTCCAACTGAAGTGTCAGCTCCTCGGAAGCAAAGCTTGCATTTTTGTATCTTCCTTAGTTACAAATATATTTTCCATTCATGTTTTTAAATTAACTAAAATATCGCTTGGGCTACGTGTGGAAATGGATGGTTGGGGGTGGGGAAAGGCATAAGAATGAGTGAGGGGAAAGTTGTTAGCAGATTATTTGTAAAAGAGTGCAGGCAAGAAAAGAGGCTGACCTGGACCCAGTGGTGGGGGTGGACACTGAGAGAAGCAAGTGGGTTCCAGGTGCCTTGATCACACAAGACGATGATTTCCTGGAAATCAGATGCAAGCTGGCAGTGGTATCAAAGCTGACTCTGGGCTTCGGTTAGAAGAGCGTGGTGAGCAGGACAGGCATGGCAGAGTTGAGAGGAAAAGGGAAGTCTTTCAGATTTAAGAGGGTAAATCAAAAGTCTGGCCATGTTCGTTTTGAGATCCTTTAAGAGAACGATGTCAACGGGCAATTGGATGGATAAAGGAGTCAGAGCTCAGACAAGAGACCCAGAGTTGCTCATTTGGAAACTGTTAGCAATAGATGGAGCTCAAAGCCATAAAACTGTAGAGGAGAGTGTAGAGAATGGAGCAAGGGTCAGAACCAAGCCCTGAAGATACCAGTGTTCAGAGGTCACTAGAGGAGGAATCAGCAATCGGAGTAGCCAGGAGGAGAGGAGGAAACAACAAGAAGAGGGTAGTTTTACTGAAGCCAAGGGAAGAGAGTCATTTGTGTATCCAACACGATGAGGAGTAAACTTAAAGAAGGACTTAAATGTATCCATTAATTTGCCAGTAAAGGCCAAAATCCAAAGGATAACACTCAAAGTAGCCTCATCCTTCCACCTTATGGATAAATCTCTTTAAACAAAGTCTACGCAACATTTCACTTATTTGTGCCTTCATTCTACTCACTCTAACAACAGAGATCCTTAGAGACCTTAACAAGAATTCTCACCTGGAACCCAATGTCTTCACTTCTGAAGTTCACCTGGTATGGTCCTTGGTTCTTAGACACCAAACTCTTGACCATGCAGAGGAGCTTCTCCACCTGGGCCTCCTGTTTGTCCTCACTTGCCTTGTTGTTGAAAGCACAGTATCCACCACCACAGTTTTGAACCAACTCTCTAAGACACTCATCACTTTCAATGAAATCTTCCAGCAAGTCATCCCCTAAATCATCCTCACGAGTAAAGACTATAATGCTGTGTCTGCTGGCTTCAGCTCCAAACACCTCCTGGATGCCCTTGGCTGTTTTTCTGTCCTCCATCTTATAATGGCCGATGGGAATTACCAGAAGCAGGGCATGGAGGCTGGGAGCGGAGAGCTCCAAGCAGTGCTCAATGTTGTATTCCTTATCTTTGGCACAAACTGTTGGGGAGAAGAAGTCAGGGGTGTCGATGACCACTACCTCACACCCCCTTATGGCCCCACGCTCTCTCTGGCAACTTTGAGTCACCATCTGCTCACTGAACTTGGAGATGAACACGGCTTTGCCCAGAATAGTGTTTCCCGTAGCACTTTTGCCTGCGCCATGTTTCCCTAAGAGAAGAAGCCTCATTTCCAACCTGGAGCAGCCCTGCTCCACCTCGTTCTCCTGACACAAGCTTCCGCTGGTTCTGCTGGGACAGAAAGCAACATGTCAATGTTCAACTCACAAGCAGAAAGGATAGAAGAATAGCGAGAAAGTACCTTCTCTTTCTGACTTAAGTTTTTCCCCGGGGATTTGGGCTCCTGAAATCCTAGACTCACACTAGACAAGAAAAAAGGAATTCTGTTTCCCAGATTCTTCTCTGGGCTCTTGCCTCTGAAACAAGCCTATACTGGTAAAATGTCAAATGCTGTTACCTAAACAAACACCTCTCCCTTCTCTATACACATCACCCACTCTACATGCTGGAGGAAATCTGAACACTCTCAGTGATGGACAGAATAATGCTCCCCCTACCCAAGATGTCCACGTGCCTATCCTTGTAATCTGTGACTATGTTGCCTTACATGGTAAAAGGGCTTTGCCAATGTAACTAAGGATCTTAAGATAGAGAATCTTGGATCATTCAGGCGAGCCCAAGGTAATCACATTATAAGAGGGTCTTATGAGGGGGAGGTAAGAAAGTCAGAGTGAGAAAAAGGAGATGTGAGGACAGAATCAGAGGTCAGAGACTGAGAGAAGCTTGAAGATGTTACACTGCTGGCCTTGAAGGTGGAGGAAAGGGCCACAAGCCAAGGAGAAAGTAGGCGCCTCTAGAAGCTGGAAAAGGCAAGGAAGTGGATTCTCCATGGAGCCCCAGAGGGATCACAGCCCTGCCCAACACCTTGATTTGAGGACTTCTGGCCTCCAGCACTGTAGAAAAATAAATCTGTGGGTTTTTAGCTACTAAGTTTTTGGCAATTTATAACAGCAACAATAGGAAACTAATACACTCTGTCTCCCAGCTTCCCTTCCAATGAAGAGTGTCCGTGTGACGCACTTCTCCATGATGGCAATTGAGGCAATGCTTGCTGGGGCCTCCTGGGAAGGCTATCCATTTCTTGATGGTCGAGGCAGACTCAAGTCAAGAGCTCCTGTTCTCACTCCTTCTCTCTTCTTCTTGCATGAAATTTAAATGTGATAGCTGGAGTTGCAGCAAATATCAAGGGGCAACGAGGCCACAGGAGCAGAGACCATGCCCGTCTTGTCTGGTGTCCCTCAGCCCTAATATTATGTCTGGCATATAGTATATGCTCAATAAATGAATGGTGGTAAGAGTGGTGGACGTGAGAAAAGGAAGAAAAGGAGGGAGACTGAAGTGATGTCACTCTGAATGATAAAAGAGAAGCAACTTTATATTGCTTCCCAAGCCAGTGAAATGGCTTATTTTTATACATTATTTTTTTAAAGACACCAGTGGGTAAACAAGCTAAAGGAAACAGAGACCTCCAGCAGCTCGAAGGAAAAAGGAATTTATTTCCAAGTAAACATTGTTTTGTAAGGTTCCGCATCAGAGTTTGATGACGTGGGTAAGTCTCATAGTCCTTCCAGCCAACGACGCCATATTGAACCAGGACTAACTCTCACTCTGTCTCTCCATACATGCACACAGTTGCCCAGCCTGTACCATTCTCTATCAAGGGTTCAGAAAATACTTTTAAGGACAAAAGGGAACCAAAACTACCCCCTCCCTCCCTCTCACCTCGATGACCCACATTTCCCTCATCGTTTCCCAGACTGCTCTGGAGACCCCAGAAGAGCAATAGAGAGAAAAAGAAAGAAAAAAGCTTTCTCCAAAACTCTAGTTGAAACCCTACAGCAGCCTCCATCTCAGGAGGTAACTGAAGGGGGATGTGGCTTCAGGCATCCACGCAAAGCTTCTAGTGAGGTAGAGATTTGTCCCACATCGGGGGCAGTTCATGTGCACAGAAAAAGGGGGTCAGAGAAGCTTCCAGAGCCCAGCCTGGAGACAACTCAGTCCAGCAGGAGGAAGGAAAGGAGTTCATGCGTGAGAGTCCAGGCGGCTTAAATGTAGGTAAAATCAGAAAGAGGGATTTTGGCAAACACTGACCACTTTCAATGCGCAGTTAACGGAATCTTAACTGTGCAAAGGTTGAATGATTAGGGAAGTGACTGTGAAAGATCGGTGTCCAGACTGCCAGCTTCCCCAATGCCTGCTTCTCAAGGAGGCAGGCAGTCCCTGGGGGCTGCTCTGTGGCAGTCCTGAAGTCAGGGGATTCCTAAGGAGTGGACCACCCCCCACTTCTTTCTCTTCCAGGCCTTCATCACAGCCCTAGGTCTGGGAGGCAGCTCCTCCTAGACACACCTCTTCCTAGAAAGGCTGCCTGCAGGGACAACATCCAGGGGCGTGAGCCTCTGTGCTCCCTCCCAGGGAGCACCCCCTCCCAGGCTGGGGGGACCTGTGCTAGGTCAGGAGGACTGTGTCGGAGCCCCTGAAATCGAGCCTCCCAGGTGGCTGTCTCCCCACCCTGGGTCGGCCGCCTTTCCCACCCTCATCCCCCTACCCATGGAGGCACAGAACCCACAACCATGCACACGTACCTCGCGCCTGTCCCCTGGCCTGTCACTGTCCCAGAACCTCCACATTCCTCCTGCCTCCATCCCTCCTCCATTCCTGGCTGGGTGGGAGCAGCTGAGGGAGCCCTCAGAGGGCGGAAGAGCCTCCCGGGGAGAAGAAACCAGGGGCAGGGCCAGCCTCGCAGTGTGGGGATCTTCCTGACAAGCGGGGTTTCTGAGAAGGAAGAGGCTGAGCTTCTGAGCCTGCCGGTGGACGCGGGAGGGACCACAGCTCCTCCACCCTCCCCCGGGCGCCTTGCAAGGCTGGTGGGAAGTGGGGGTAGAGGCGTCACTGAGCTGAGGGGCCCCAGGCCGACCTCCAGGAGGATCCCTCCGAAGGATCACTGTGCCGAGGGCACAGGAGGACGTGCACATTCCTTCCTGCCCCTAGAACAATCTGGTACTTTTCAAGGCTTTGAGCGAGGCTCTGCAGGGAGGGCCCGGAGCAGGTGTTTCGTCTCCCAGCAGTTCTCTGCATCCACCTGCTCAGCCCGACCCTTTCCCAAGACTGGGGTTAAAACATGAAGACATTGTCTACCTTCTCCCACTAACTCCCCGAGCTCCATCTGCCCTGAAGCAGCCTTAAACAGTTTCCTGCAACAACTCCTCACGTGCCCTTCCTGAAACCCCGTGGGAGTAACTCAGGGCCCTGGACCAACACTGCCTCCCAGGCTGAAGAGCTTTTTCCTGGAGCTAGTAAAACATCTGAGATGCTAGGACTCTGTGCTCTCCAAAAGCTCATAAAACCAAACCCTATTTGTGAAGCACAAGCATTAAAAGCTCCCTGTGAGAGAAGGACGTCCATCGCTGAGAAAGACTTTATTTTATTTTGCTGTGGTTAAAAATACACACATAACATTGAATTTACCATCTCAGCCATTTTTAAGTGCACAGTTCAACAGCATCAAGTCCCGTCACATTGCTGTGCAGAGAGTTCCAAAACTTTTCCATCCGGCAGCCTGAAGCTCTGTGGCCCATTAGCTCCGAATCCCCTCCCGCAGCCCCTGGCAACCACCTCTGCCTTCTGTTTCTGTGATTTTGACCATGTTAGACACTTCATACCACTGGGGTCAAACAGTGTTTGTCCTTTCATGACTGGCTTTTTTCTGCTTAGCATAACGTCCTCCATGTAAGCGGACATTTAATCAGGATGCAGAGGCCCTGATTCGATGCCCCTGAGCTCCCACTGTCACATCAGGCTGGGTCTTTGAACTGTCAGAGATGGTGCTGAACCTTCCAGAGACCTTGAGGAAGGAGGATCAGTGGGGACCCTGACTCAGGCTTTGAGGAGTGGCTCTATCCCTTGGGGTCCCCCTCCCCTCTGGGCTGGTCTTCACGTTCAGCCTGTCCGGAAGCTGCTGGCACTGCCACCAAGGGCTGGGGTGACACGGCTACACCTTGGAGGGGAAACTGACAAAGCATCTCCCATCCCCCACCCCACTTACCCCCCCTTAGTAAGGAGGACCTGGTCCAGGAAGAATCCCAACCTGAGCCCTGGGTCAGTTTACATAAAATCAACTCATTAAAACAATCAGACGAAGTCTACAGCTCAGCCAATCATCCCAGCTGCGTCACTCCGAGAAGCGGAGGTCAGCTCAGGACAGAGTCACAGGCCTGGTGGGATATCATTTCCCCAAAACAGAAAAGACGGTCAACTGAGCTCAGTAAAAGCTTGCTCCTTCTTAAATGAAATGTGACACTTGGGGAGCACTCTGAGTAAAACCCAAGCTTCGGACGTCCCCTCCATGATTTACCAAGTCAGTTATTTGCTGAGCCAACCATTTTGCAAAATGATTACTGGGCACATTAGCTTCTGGAGAATTGATTTCTGTGGGGAAGGCGGCTGATTCTGGTTGGGCCCTGATCTAGGGAAGGATGGGGCTTCTCTGCCCCCTAGTGGCTCTGTGGGTAATAACAAGGGCAACTAAACCACTGGGTTGGGGGTGCCCAGGCGGGGACTCCGCAGGTAGACACCCCTCCCCACCTTCTGCTCCCAGACACTCCCAGGGAGCAGGACTTCTAGAAGTGGAATAAGCCGGGAAGGCACAAGTTACGCGAGCAAAGAGGAAGCTACCAGGCACTACATTAGACACAGAGGCTCAAAGACTCTCCAGACACATCTCTGACCCAAGTTGCTCACTCAAATGACAGGAAAAGAGACTAAACCTATGGTTATGGAAAATATACACGCATTGCAAGGGAGACGTGTTCAGGGGGCCACGTGAGCAAAGAGAAAGCCTGTCAACCCTGCAAAATGGAGAAACAACCAAGTGGGAAGCAGTTATAAACAAGCCCATAAACCCAGTGTTTACTGCAGCCGGTTCCGTAACAGAGGAGGTGATTATCACGCATGGTGGAGGCAGAGGTCCCGCAGGGGAGCTCAGACCCACCCACAGTCCTGAAGGGCCTGTTGAAAGTTCCCTGGGAAGGACACTCAGGCAGAGGGACAGTGGCGAATGCCACAAGTGCTCAGGTTGACGAGAGCAGCTTGGGCTCGTGAGGGAAATGGGCTCAGGCTGGAGGATCAGTTAGAAGCAACTGCAGTAGTCCAGGCTGAAATAACAACGGGAACTAAAACAGTGACAGTGAAAATGGACGGTGGAAAAAGGAACAGGTTTATGATAGATTTAGGAGACAGAAGCAGCACAGGGGGAAAAAGATGAATTCAGGGCTGCTCGTACCATTGTTCAAGTCACCACATCAAAGGGAGGGCTACTCACAGCACAGACATTTCTTATTTTGGAAAAAAAAATTATATGTTGTTTTCTTTCAAAGATTGGACATGTGTGTTTACTACAATTTTGGCAGATGGCAGTAAGAATGTCTTGTAACTAAATTTGTCTGTTTTGACAGTTTTCTGATGGAATTAAATGTCATATTCAAACAGAGCCCCTTGCTGGTTACAATATTTATAATTAAGAAATAATATGCCTATTTATAAACACTTAACTCGAAGAAGAGGCACCATCGTCTCATTCATGCAAAGGCTACTGGTCACCCCAGGCTGACCGGCTGTGGGATGTCTGGGATCATAGCACTTCCTAGTGGCCTTTGTGGAGACCGGCCTGTGAGAGGCTGGGGTTTTCGGGGGCAGATGGGCACCTCATCTTGGGGACACTGAGTCTGAGGCACTAAAGGCAGGGCAGGCAGAGAAAGTGACAAAGGTCATAACTGAATTCTGTTTCCTGAGTTTTTTACGCCAACCCTTCCACTGAAAAGAACTAAAACTAAACAGGATAAAGACGTTTAAGACTTCTCAAAAACATCCAAGAAGCAATAAGGCAGTAAGGAGCTACCAGGCCAAAGCAAAAGCCTGGACCTGTGAGACACGTTTTTCCCAGAGGGCAGGTGGCCACCCTGGAAGATGAGCGCCCACGCCTCCTAGCCTCCCTGGGCGTGCGCACTAGAAGCCCAAGCCCAGGGAGATGTCCAAACTGACTGCACCGGACACAGGCAACCAGGCAGGCACGACTCTGTTCAGGGCTCTGATGACAGCGGAGAGAGGCCAGGACTAAGACTCAGAACCATCAGGAGGGGTGTTAGGGGTCCAGAGTGAGCTGCTGGAAAAGTACTGGAGGACGTTAGGGATGGCTGTCAGTGTGATGAGGCCACGTGTATTTGCTCATTGGAGCCCATCAAAGTCAGGCTCTGACCCTCCTGGGAAGATGGGAGATGGAACGCTGTCTCCCTTGGTAGTTACATTTCAAAGGGACGGCTCCCACGTCCTGGAGACAGACAGTTCTGGGTTGTAAAGCTGGCAGGAGGCTTTTAAAGAGTTACGTCTCAAAGGGGCAGACAAAGAATTTGCAATGACAAGTTTTTGAAAGGAAATGCTCCGAGGGAAGGGAGGTCAAGAGTCAGGAACAGACCAGCCTGAAGGCAGCACGGAGAGGAGAACCCGCAGGGCTCACGGTGGCCCTGTCCCGGGTGGCCCGGGCCGCGTCTTTGTCCATCAACAGCACGTCTGCGTCTGCGCGGCTGCGCCCCCATCAGAGACGCGCAACCCTGCCGATGGGGTCACTTTACACTGAAGATTCCTGTCCTCTAACGGGCATCATCCCTCTGTGTCGTAGCTCATTCACGCCCCCACCCCGCCCACCGTCAACTCTCCTACCTTCTCCTCTCTTCTAAATCCTACCGCCAACCGCATTCAGTCCGTGACCTTGCTTCCGCTTTCTCTAAAAAACAGAAAAGGTGGGATGAGAACCTCCAAACCCCACCCGGCCCAGGCGGTGCCCTCAGACTCCGCCCTCCTTCTCGTCCTGATGAATGTCCTGCGAGGACCCCCGCCAAGCCCGTCTCCTCTGACCGAGCACCAAACCCCGTCCTCTCACCGGCTGCTCAAAGACCTCCCTCCAGCAAGGCTTCCCCCGGCCCTGGGCCACACCGCCCCCTCTCTCCTGGACCACTGTCATCAGCAGGCCACCATGCTGGCTTTCTCCCATCTTTCAAAAAGAATATTCTCTTACCCCACTGCCCCCTCCAGCGACCATCTACTTTCTCCTGTGGCCCATGTAGGTATCTGAGACAGGAAGGAAGGAAGGCCACAGGGCACAACCATTAAAGGAAAGACGCAGCAACTGAAGATGGGACAAAAACTGGTTAAAACTGGTTAAAACCCAACTAGGCCCAAGATGGTGGAAAATTCAACTTCCAGTAGACCTTGAGCCTCTTTATCTGCTCATCGTAAACATGAGCATGGTAAACGGCACCCCCACAGGTGCTGTGACAGTTCCGAGGCTGACCAGAACACACCAAAAAGCGAGAGGTGGCCCAGTTCCTGGGAATCCCGGCCCTCTCCCCAAAGGAGTCAGAACAATCCTCCCACTTGTTAGTCTATGAAGTCACCCAGCCCACTAAAAACTAAACCCCACCACCCCGCCAGCCTCTCTCTCTCTCTCTTGCCCTCTGAGATGACCCACACTCTGTCTATGGAGTGTGTATCTTCCTGAATAAATCTACCTTCACTCTGCTTCGGCTCGCTCCTGAATTCTTTCCTGGGCGAAGCCAAGGCCCCTCACTTATGGGGCGCGTCCCAAGCACTCACCCGAGACCTGGGACATGGCCATCCTCTCGCGCCCCTTTTCCTGCAACGTCTAGACTCACAATCACCTTGGGAAGTGGTGTGTCTCCAGGCTGTGATCCCCTGGCCCGGGGGAGTCAGGGAGGGAGGCCAGACTGTG